GTTTAGGGTTTAGGGTTTAATCTAAAGACCCTGAAACCCTGCACACCAAAACGTCCACGCTGAACCGCATTGAACGAAGCGAGGCCCACTGTGAAGGCGCTCTATCGGAAAAAGCCTAGGCCCTGATTCTACTGGGTAGTTACCTAAATGGGTGGTTTTCTAAATTAGGGTCCNNGGTCCCTTTTGGGGGTCCTTTTTTATAAGGGTGCCGTACTATATTGGGGACCCAAAAAGGGACCCTAATTTAGAGAACTACCCAAATACCTAAAGACGAGCTACGCCCGTCTGGGTCAAGCAGTGTTCGTGAGAAGATAACATCAGGTACAGGCACACTAATTGCTGCAGGTGACCCCCATGTAGTGCGGCAGCCTCATGAAATTAACAAGGCCCCTCAAAGGGACCCTAATTTAGCAAACTGCTCAGGTGAGTTTTCTGTCTGCTGGTGATCCTCTAAACATCTTGTAGGACCCTTATAGATATCTTGCCAAGTGTCTTGCTGGTCTGCTGGATCGAGCGTGGCCACAGAGTCTGATCCTCTCAAGTGGTGCCAGACAATCGAGCTTGTTGTTCGGTTTAGGGTTTTGGGTTTAGGGGGCAAAACCTCGGGAAAACTTCCTTCGCAGGTTTACTGCTTCTACCGACACCCAAAACTCTAAACCCTGCAGCGTGTTCCCTTCAAAGGTTACGGTTGGGAATTCGGGGAGTATATGGAAACTTGCCAACAGGATGTTGACAGAGAGATTGGGTCATTCACTATAAGGATTTGCTTGAGATGCTTTTCTTGCCAAACGTTTAAAAAGAACTACCCACAGAGTGTCGGGCAGGGGCACGAAAAGCGATGCTAGTTTGCGCCCAGTAGCACAACCCGGACTTTTACCGTCTTTGACTACTTCTCCGGCTCTAGTGGGGTTTGTCTTGCTAGTAAGCAACACAACCGGAAACAGCATCAAAGCTATAACTCCATCCTTTTTTTATGAATCTTCCAAGAGGGCCAGGAGAGAGGCCCGGCAAGCTTAGAGCCGTCATCTAGTGACACCTGGAATCTAGGAAAACATGTATTAGAGGGGCCCTAACAATTAGAATAGGGTATGGGGGCCCGTTATACTATAATTGTAATAAGGAGCCCCAAGACTTAGGCTTCTATACTACAGGGTCCTCAAGGCAGGCGAAGATCCGTTCAGACCATTTGACGACGTCCTGGCATGCAGAACGCTGGCAACTGCAAGCTAAAAGTGATTCGAAGACAGAGTGTGGGTGTATGGGGCTTAGCTCAACGATCCAAGGTTTCAAGTTTGAAGCTACGCTTCATGGGTTTCGTTGGTGACACGAACCTATAGGTAGCTGGCAACAAGTAGAGTCTACTCAACCTCTACTGAAAACCTGGGATGGTACGAGCGTCTGCTAGGCGAACCGAAACAGTATAACCAGCTAGCTCTATTTCACAACGCAAACCGAAAGCAGGATTGTCACGTGCCCATTGCCAACTCGAAAGCTACATGCTTGCCATAAACCAACCCAGACAGTTGCAGTAACTCCGACAAAATCCTTGCCTAGTTCGTTACCCTAAACCCTAAACCCTACACCCATGAAGTCAAAGCGCTAGTCCTGTCCTGGCCCGCCTTGGCGTGAGTCTCTTCGAGGCACTTGGCCTGGTCCGGAGAAACGAGCTTTCGGGTCGTCGGGGTTGAGGGTTTAGGGTGTTTAGATGCCTTCGCGTATCACCCGAAGGCCCTAAAGGTCTTGTATCCTCATCAGCCATGACCCCCGTGCGAATCCGTGCCGCTGTAGGAAAGTGCGGACCTTGCCCAGGGCTTGGAGATCGCGCAAGATGCCTACAAGCGGTCACAGGGTTTCGGGTTCAGGGTTCAGTTTCTACAGGTGGTTCTCCTCGGGTTTGTTGGAGGCTTGAGAATTTGGGTTTCGGTCTACAAGCGGTTCTCCTATAGGGTTTGAAGGTCTACATGTGCTCATCCCGGGGGCTGTTTGAAGGGTTTAGGGTTTGGGCTCTTTATACGGGCTTGCTAACAGGGCCGCCTAATGCTTTAAGATCCGATGTCGAAAAGTGTGTCCATTTGGGAGTTTCCGAAAATAGGGAACCCTAATATAGTACCCTAAATAGTAGGACCCTTATTATAAAGGCCCCAAAATAATGTATCCCTTATTTTCGGAAACTCCCATTTCTGCGATCAAGGCTTTAGGGATCTGCCAGCATTCGGTGAAGCACCTGAGGTATCAGCTTGTGATCGGCACCAAACCCTAAGGGTCCATGTACCCAAATCGTATATACTTTGGCCCCAAAATACCTATGTAGGGACTACTTTAAGGCCAAAGTAGTATACTATTTGGGTACATGGACCCTTAGGGAAACAAAAACAAGCCACACTCTTGTACTCCTGCATTTCCTCTCTCTCTCTCGCTCGCTCTCTCTTTGGAAAGGTTGCGAGCCATACGAGCTCCTTTCGACCGCTCTCCACCAAAACGTCTGCATGATTTGCTGCTGGACGACTCTCCGGTTGCTGGTGAAGGCAGAAGAAAGCGAAGATTTCCTTGGCTGAACAGTGTAAAAAAGAAGACGAACGGAGACCGCCATTGCCCAGTCAAGACATTCCTGAACATCTGGGCTCTACCCTACGGAGCTCTGAGGACTCATATGCCAAGGCTTACAACAACCATGCTACGGACGGGGGGAGGCGAATTTGTCTGAATATAGAGCAAAGCCTGCAACGCCTGAAGTGCAAGCGTAGCCTCGTAAACCTCGCGTAAAGTTGCTCTCGTTCCAGTTGGGGTTTTGGGAGTTTAGTGCTTCGAATGCAGGAGATGGTCAGAGAGGGTGCTTTAGTCACGGGTTTAGGTCTAGGTAGATGGCCATTGAGGAAACTAAACCTACAGCTAACTTCCCGCCGTTGACATCGACACTTACCCTGCTGAGAAGCCCCACTCTCCAGTAAGTCCACCAAGGCTCCTTCAACGTGGCCTTGAGCTTGTTGTCGTTGTCTGAGTCGGCGCTGTCTGGGAAGAAGAGCAGAAAGCGGGCAAGCATCTTGTGCGTCGCTGCAGCTTCGATCTCTAGTTGAAGGCAAGCACCAGTCATCAACCCTGAACCCAAGACAGCTTCATATCACAGGTCCGCCTCACCAGCTGCAACCAGACCGTTATGTAAAGCTGAGGCCCTAAATCCCAATGCCCACAAAAGCATCAACCCTACCCGAAAACCCGAAACCCTACCCTTAACCCCCATGCCTACACGCTGGAAGATGTCGGCCAGCGGGTGTGTGTACACCAGGAGCCTGTCTTCTCAGAGCATCCAAGGGTACTTGGGCTTCTAGTCCCTACCCAAAGGGTCCTACGTACCTATACGGGGGATATTTGCCCAAACCAGAATAACACATCCGTCTATAGAAATAGAAACCCTACTTTGCAGGTACCTAGGAACCCCCCGGCCTGCTTACTAAGGGCAGCCCCCAAGGCGGGGGCCCCGTAAATCTTCTGGGTAGAAATTTGGGTTTAGGGTTTAGGGTTTAGGGTTTAGGGTTTAGGGTTTAGGGTTTAAGGGCGCCGCGAATCATTTTCTGTAGCAAAATTCGACAACCCCGGCCGCTTAGAAAACCATAAGCCCTAAACCCTCAACGCCTTCCTGAACCCCAGCAGCACCTAGGATCCACGTTCTTGAACAAGAAAAACACACAGCCCTGCCCTGCAGCCCTCTGTTGCATCATCTGCCATTTCAGGAAGCCGAACAGTCGTTAAACCGAATGCCTTATAGGCGACGATTCCGGGTGCCTGCAGTCCCAACGCCCCCCAACCATGAACATCGCAACCCTTGACACAACCGACTCCGAATAGGATCCCATTGTCTATCCAGTCTATTCCGCTTAGGCGGCAAATGCCTGCAAGGCTCTCACGAGCTTTTCTAGCCTACTGCTTGAGCTTGCACTCTGACGGACTATACCTACCTTTCAGTATACACATATGCCAGGACATTTACCTAATATGTATATATATATATATATATACAATATATACACATGCACACCTTAGTCGGCATGCGGCTTCAACTTACACGCATGATCCTGCACGATGAATCAAATATCGCTTCCGACCGAAGCAATGTCAGAACCTCGAAGCAATAACACCCCCAGGGCCTAAACCAGTACTTCCCAAAGCCGATGGTTTCAAGTCCCAAAACCCAAACCTCGATCGTTCAGTCCCAAAACCCAAACCTCCAGCCTTCAGTCCCAACACGCAAACTTCCAGCGTTCTTCAAGTAGCCTCATAATCTCATCGAAGTTGTGCTCCTCAGGCCCTTGCTCTTGCACGGCTTGCATCTCCTGCAGGAGGTTTACTGTTTGAGGTCCCCTGAACCTTATATATATATACACATAACAGGAAAACTGTATTACATGTTCGGTTGCAGAATATTGTATGTTAAAACGAGTGTTTACAAATTAAATACTATACATTTTAATCAAGTAAATATTGTATATTACATATTCCATGTTGTGTATACATATATATATATATATGTATATATATATATATGTGTGTGTGTGTGTTTCATCGAATAAAAACAAACTAATTTAAACAGATTACAGAGAGTACAATGTAATATCATCCGATATAATCAAGGATGGTGTGTAATAAATAGTCAATTACATATGTATGTATGCATGTACGTATCATACATTACATGGTGCATACTGTATGTTATATATTATACAGAATCTGATGAATTTCTTCTCTATATATATGTACATTATGCATTATACAATATTATATATATGTACCTTACTTTGGATATCATATATGTCAAAACAGATTTTACATATCATTTTTGCGTATCCTTTTTTGTAATTTGATGTACTTAAGTGAAATAAAGAACAAACAAGCCATCACGCTAAACAGCTAAATGATTTTAAAGCAGTATATATATACATACATATATATATATATATAATACACATTCTACATTATACAATACATCCTGTTGGTTTTGCTTTATGTATATATATATATATATATATTGAGTGTAGCATGTAGGTGCGCAGGAACTTCAACACACTTCAGAAGAGGCGGGGTTAATAGGGTTTAGGAGTAAAGGTTTAGGGTTTAGGGGCTTCAACTGGATCGGAGACGCCCCAAGCCGGAAGAGACAGAGCCAAGCTGAACCACACCGAGGCAGGCCCAAGTATATCCTGAAAGCAACCCTCGTGGTACACCTTTTAGTACCCTTAAGTTATAGCAGCCGTTCCCGCAACTGTTATCTTGCCTGGTATAGTCCCCCTTATACCGCCAGTCAAGTCAGGCAGAAGGGGACGAGTAGAAGCCGCCAAAAACCGGACAACCGGAACCAGGAAGACACAAAAGAAAGCTTCCTGCTCTTGCTGAAAGATAGGGTAAGGGCTCAAGGTGTGATTAAGGGATTAGCATCCTTCACTTGGATCCCGAGTCAGATCGTCAGGCAGAAAGAACTGTCCTCCACGAGCTGTTCGACATCATCCCGAAAGCACCTTGGTGGGGAGATCATGCACACACACACAGGTATAAATACATAACATATGCATATACATGTACACGTAACACGTACCCACACATGCACCCTGCTTTGTACCTTCGTGATGTGCGAGGAGCTTTGACATGCCGCTGTTTTCCAAGGGGACGCCGAAGATCTCCCGATGCTCCTTTACTTGGAGGTTCATGGGTGGTTATAAGTGGGGTTATGGGGTTCCTTTAAGGGTTCCTTTAAAGGGTTCTATAGTAGGGTTTAGGGTTTAGGAGGTTCATGGGTAGTTATAAGTGGGGTTATAAATAGGGTAACTATAGCTAGAACCCGTATCACGG